TGAACACATTTTATAAGTGGTCAGAAACTTGTAAATAACTCATGAAAGAATAAAGTTATGTTGAAACCAAGCCCACCATTGTTTTTCTTGTGACATTACTAATAATGTCACATGTCACATGGCCCTCTTCCTATTGAAAAAACAAAAGTTGAATCCAAGATGGCCGACTTCTAAATGGCCACCATGGTCACCACCCATCTTGAGTTTGCCCCCTCACGTATACTAATGTGCCACAAACAGGACTTTAATATCACCAACCATTCCCATTTTATTACGGTGTATCCATATAAATGGCCCACCCTGTATTTCTGCTTCGTTTGAAGTTTTACTGCAGGTCAGAGTTTGTTCAGCAGGTGGTGCTGCTTCTTGAAACTAAACAAACTGATTCATAATGATGACTGATGCAGTTTCCCTCTGTGTGAAGATTATTTTTCAATTGACTGTTTTTAATCACTGAATAAAAATGCGTTTGACACAATGGAGAAAACATAAAATAAATGTCTGCTGTTCTTTTACATCACAATTTGATCGGCTCAGACATCTCAGTGAATCTTTTTATGGGAAACTGGTTCATTTCAATCTTGATGCATGCTCGTGGTTCGCTTCAGTTTTTTTTCATTAGAAAAGACAACAAGAAAACAACTTTCATCAATAAATTTAATCTGTTTAATTCATAATTCTGAATTTGAATGTGAGACCACAGCTTCAAAACACATTGAACACAATCTGACAGACTGATTGGTTTACAGTAGAATTTAATATTTCCCCAATTATTACAAGTAAGCTAATAATCAGTAATAATCAGTAATATGTTCCTATTCAATTAATTAATAAAAAACTATTATGTTATTAAAAGGTATTATTTCATGTAAAAAAATCAGCAATAAGAATTACAAAGATAGTTACACTACAATGTTTACATTCTGTCTTTATGTTAATGAGACTTTTATAAGTTACTGCTAAATGATGGCTGTCAATAAATGCTGGATTTTCCCTGTACCAGTGGGAGTAAGATGCACTGCAACTCTAACACCAACTTCAGTTGGCAGCTGGAACCCCAAGTGCAACAACAGCTGTACTGTTTCTTTAACTTTATGTCTTTCTTATTTGCAGCTCATATATTATGTTTTTCTTCAGTCCATCTATCTAATCAACACATACTCAAAAAATGATTACTATTACTGTTATTCTTCTAATATATTTTTCTTGTAAATGGAGCATTCACAAGCTGCTGATAAACGTTATTTTTCATTAATTATTACTGTGTAACACAATCATTTAATTTTCTTTTCGAAGTTACAGATTTTGCTTTCAAACCAGCTGCAAGTCCCATAAAACCTCCAACTAACGCTCCTACTGCAGCTCCCACTGGACCCACTATGGCTCCAACACGAGCTCCAAGACCAACTATGCCAATTCCAGCACCAATACCAATACCAGCACCAGCACCAGCAGCAACTCCAACATTAACACCAGTATCAGCTCCCATAAGGACAGCATCCTGACTCCCCTGAGTAAACCCGTTCCTTCTTTCTGCTTTGTATCTTGCTTCTTTGGCCGTCATCTCTGGATTTTCTTTCTGAAGTCGTTCCATCTCTGTTTTTATGGCTTTCTCTGCCTTTTCAAACATATTGGTGGTGTAGCAGCATCCTCCATTTCTTTCAGTCAGATTGTTGATTACCTTCAGCAGCTCTCTGACCTCAGAGCGATCCTTGTTTCTGCTGTTAAAAACATGACGTCCTCCACTGCACTGACTGATAAAGTCTTTGAGATCTGGATGTTTGATTGCCTCTTCTATGGTGTCTTTATTCACATCATCTTCATGGATTACCAAGGCCATTGTGTAATCAGCTGCTTGTTCACCAAATATCTTCTGAATGATTTTCACAGTTTTTTGTTCTTCTTTGGTGAATCTGTTTGGTTGGATCACAACCAGGAACACATGAGGACCAGGAGCAGCAAAGGAGATGCATCTAACAATCTCTCTCTTCACCTCCTCTTCAGTTAGTTTAGTGTCATACAGACCTGGAGTATCAACTACAGCCAGTGTTTTACCTTCAAACAGACCTGTTTTCTTCTGACACTCTGATGTTACAGAGGAAGAAGAAGAAGAAGCTGTTGATCTAAATACTTTTCTCCTTAAGATGCCGTTTCCTGCTGCACTCTTCCCAACTCTGGTTTTCCCAACAAGAGCAATCCTGAGGTCGGCTTCTGGTTTATTTATGACTCTCTGAGCTTCTCTGAACATTTCATTGGTGTAGTACCCTCCTTCATTTCTTTCAGTCATTGTGTTGATCTTCTTCAGCAGCTCTCTGACCTGAGAGGGATCCTTGTCTCTGTTGTTAAATACATGATATCCTCCACCGCACTGACTGATGAAGTCAGTGATAATTGGATTATTATTGATCATGTTTTCTATGGTGACTCCATCTGCCTCAAGATTGTCCCCACAGGTGAACAAGGCCATAGTGTAACATGCTGACTGTTCTCCAAACATGTTCTGAATGATGTTGACAGTTTCTTGATCTTCTTCTGTGAATATGTTGGCTTGAATCACAACCAGGAACACATGAGGACCAGGAGCAGCAAAGGGGATGGATCTACTAATCTCTTCCTTCACCTCCTCTTCAGTTTTTTTGGTGTCAAATAAACCTGGAGTATCAACTACATCCAGTTTTTGACCTTTAAACAGACCTGTTTCCTTTTGACACTGTGGTGTTACAAAGGAAGATGTTGATCTAAATACTTTTCCCCTTAAGATGATGTTTCCTGCTGCACTCTTCCCAACTCTGGTTTTCCCAACAAGAACAATCCTGAGGTCAGCTTCTGGTTTGTTCATGACTCTCTGAGCTTCTCTGAACATTTCATTGGTGTAGTACTCTCCTCCATTTCTCGCAATCATTCTGTTGATCTTCTTCAGCAGCTCTCTGACCTGAGAGGGATCCTTGTTTCTGTTGTTAAATACATGATATCCTCCACTGCACTGACTGATGAAGTCAGTGATAATTGGATTATTATTGATCATGTTTTCTATGGTGACTCCGTCTGCCTCAAGATTGTCCCCACAGGTGAACAAGACCATAGTGTAACATGCTGACTGTTCTCCAAACATATTCTGAATGATTTTCACAGTTTCTTGTTCTTCTTCTGTGAATCTGTTGGCCTGAATCACAACCAGGAACACATGAGGACCAGGAGCAGCAAGGTTGATGCAGCTACTGATGTCTCTCTTCACCTGCTCTTCAGTTTTTTTGGTGTCAAATAAACCTGGAGTATCAATTACAGCCAGTTTTTGACCATCAAACAGACCGGTTTTCTTCTGACACTGTGGTGTTACTGTGGAAAAACTTGCTGAGGATTTAAAAGCTTTTTCTCCTAAGATGATGTTTCCTGATGCACTCTTCCCAACTCCAGTTTTCCCAGTAAGAACAATCCGAAGGTCAGCCTCTCTGAACATTTCAACTGTGAAGTATCTTCCTGCATTTCTCTGAACCATGGTGTTGACTTTCTCCAGCAGCTCTCTGACCTGAGAGGGATCCGTGTCTCTGTTGTTAAAGAGGTGATATCCTCCATCACACTGATGGATGAAGTCACGGAGAGCTGGATTTTTACTGATTAATTCTTCTATGGTGTCTCCATCTAACTTCAGGTCATCTCCATGGGTGAACAAGACTAATGTGGAACATGCTGACCTTTTTCCAAACATCTTCTGAACGATTTTCACTGTTTCTTGATCTTCATCTGTGAAGCAGTTTCCCTGAATCACAACCAGGAACACATTAGGACCAGGAGCAGAAAAGCAGATGGCTCTCTCCATCTCTGCTGTCAACTCCTCTTCAGTTTTACTGGAATCACACAGACTTGGAGTATCAACTATAGCCAGTTTTTGACCTTCAAACTCTCCCGTTTCCTTCTGACACTCTGATGATGTCAATACAAAAGCATTCCCTTTTCCTAGGATGGTGTTTCCTGAAGCACTCTTTCCAACTCCAGTTTTTCCAAGAAGCAAAATCCTGAGTTCTGGCTTCTGTGGCTTCTCTGGTTCTTCTTGTTTTGCTGAAGAGTATTAAAAAATTTTAAAGTTAAAGTTTATTTTCACAATTCACACTCTGAAGACAAAGAGTGTATACTTTCTACAGTGGGATGCAAAAGTTTGGGCAACCTTGTTAATAGTCATTTTTTTCCTGTATAAATTGTTGGTTGTTACAATAAAAAATGTCAGTTAAATATATCATATAGGAGACACACACAGTGATATTTGAGAAGTGAAATGAAGTTTATTGGATTTACAGAAAGTGTGCAATAATTGTTTAAACAAAATCAGGCAGGTGCATAAATTTGGGCACTGTTGTCATTTTATTGATTCCAAAACCTTTAGAACTAATTATTGGAACTCAAATTGGCTTGGTAAGCTCAGTGACCCCTGACCTACATACACAGGTGAATCCAATAATGATAAAGAGTATTTAAGGAAGTCAATTGTAAGTTTCCCTGCTCTTTTAATTTTCTCTGAAGAGTAGCAACATGGGGGTCTCAAAACAACTCTCAAATGACCTAAAGACAAAGATTGTTCACCATCATGGTTTAGGGGAAGGATACAGAAAGCTGTCTCAGAGATTTAAGCTGTCTGTTTCCACAGTTAGGAACATATTGAGAAAATGGAAGACCACAGGCTCAGTTCAAGTTAAGGCTCGAAGTGGCAGACCAAGAAAAATCTCGGATAGACAGAAGCGACTAATGGTGAGAACAGTCAGAGTCAACCCACAGACCAGCACCAAAGACCTACAACATCATCTTGCAGCAGATGGAGTCACCGTGCATCGTTCAACCATTCAGCAAACTTTACACAAGGAGATGCTGTATGCGAGAATGATGCAGAGGAAGCCTTTTCTCTGCCCACAGCACAAACAGGGCTGCTTGAGGTTTGCTAAAGCACATTTGGAATAAGGTGCTGTGGACTGATGAAACTAAAATTGAGTTATTGGGCATAACAAGGGGCGTTATGCATGGAGGAAAAAGAACACAGCATTCCAAGAAAAACACCTGCTACCTACAGTAAAATATGGTGGTGGCTCCATCATGCTGTGGGGCTGTGTGGCCAGTGCAGGGACTGGGAATCTTGTGAAAGTTGAGGGACATATTGATTCCACTCAGTATCAGCAGATTCTGGAGACCAATATCCAGGAATCAGTGACAAAGCTGAAGCTGCGCCAGGGCTGGATCTTTCAACAAGACAACGACCCGAAACACTGCTCAAAATCCACTAAGGCATTCATGCAGAGGAACAAGTACAACGTTCTGAAACGGACATCTCAGTCCCCAGACCTGAATATTATTGAAAATCTGTCTTGAGTTAAAGAGAGCTGTCCATGCTCGGAAGCCATCAAACCTGAATGAACTAGAGATGTTTTGTAAAGAGGAATGGTCCAAAATACCTTCAACCACAATCCAGCCTCTCATTGGAACCTACAGGAAGCGTTTAGAGGCTGTAATTTCTGCAACAGGCAGATCTACTAAATATTGATTTCATTTCTTTTTTTGTGGTGCCCAAATTTATGCACCTGCCTGATTTTGTTTAAACAATTATTGCACACTTTCTGTAAATCCAATAAACTTCATTTCACTTCTCAAATATCACTGTGTGTGTCTCCTATATGATATATCTAACTGACATTTTTTATTGTAACAACCAACGGAAAATAATAAATAATAAATACAGGAAAATAATGACTATTAACAAGGTTGCCTGAACTTTTTACCCCACTGTATATCATGTGCAGGCCAAACTGACATTAAATCACCGAGTAAATAATAAGAAACTCCAGCAATTATTTTTAAACTTAGACACAGTCCAAGAAAAGATAACCTACAAGAGCTGATCAGCAGGAGTGAGAGAAGGAAGACTGGTGTTGGGTTTCCCACTGATGGCTTATTTTTTTTACAAACAATTTTGTAGAATAAAGGTAATATTTAACATGGTTTCACTAAATGTACTCATGTTTTAGTACAAAATAAAGAAAAGGGGAATTATAAAATGTCATTGTAAGAAGTCAGGGGGAAAGCACTCACTAGTTGATGATCTTGTTTTATCTGCAGCTAAAAACAAACAAAAGAAAATAACAAACAAACAGAAGACTAAACTTTGCTCATGTGTTTTTTTCCCAATCTGAAGTTACAGAGTTATAGAGACATGACAGGACTGCTTTTGTAAGTGTTCTTGTAAAAGAAGTACAACGTCAATCAAAAGAAAAGTTGGGATAGTGTGTTAAATTTAAACAAAAACAGAAAGCATTTTTATTTTCCCATTTTGAAATTAATGGCAGTGGTACTGAAAATGAAACAGCTGGAGGTTCACCAACTCTGTGCATTCAGACTTTATGCATGTGGGGAACCTGCACGTCTTTCCCCACACTCACTGAAACAACAGCTCAGGTCCCTCCCAAACCTTCCTTTGGTCTCTGTATTAATGTCTGATAGCTCTCTGTTAGATTAATCTCAGGACCAAATGGAGTCTAGTTTGTTTAATTTTATATTATTTTGTTACATTGGAGGTGAAAATGTAATATATTTGCATTCGTGTAGGACGTTTCTACTCTTAATGACCACTCAAAGTCCTTTTAACAAGAATTCACACATTAATCATACAATCATAGAACACTCTTCAAGGATTTCATCTGCATCACATCCACATAATATCTGAAATTAAATCAATTTGTTTCTGGACTATGGGAGGAAGCTGGAGTAACTGGGGGAAACCCATGCAAGTCCAAGGAGAACATATGAAGTCCCAGCACCACGTTCTCACTCCCAAAGCGTACTACTTTAGGCTAGGTGACAAATCGTCACATTATTACGCGTCCGGGCACCCAACACCTTAAATGATGAGATCGGAAAAATGAGGAAACATGACAACCGTTTGGAATCAATCTACACATGTCCATTGATTTTAGTTAAATCGCTTTGGAAAACACTTTAATGTCATTAAAGTGCTGGTTAAGGTTAGGGATAAGGTTAAGGTTAGGGCTGGAATATATGGCTGGAACTTGTATTACCGCAGGACCGTCATGTTACTGGATTTCACCTATAACCCGGCGCGTCACATAAAATCGTGGATTAGGGATTAGAGTCGTTACGCCTCGGGACTGAGAATGGGCTGCGACTCCCGAGGGGGGGGGCAGATCCCAAAAGGATTTCAACCAGTAACCTTCTTACTGTGTCAACTATTATGGATCATGAAGTCAAGACTACATCTCTCAGTCACCCTTCAAACTCTGTATGATGTCTTCCTCATGTGTGCCATATATGATGATACCTACAGTATTGTAATATTTAACCAGTAGGTGCCTGACTCTGTGGGAATATGTGATAATGTGCTGAGAAAAAAGAGAGATCTTCTGACACTGTCAATGTCCCCCTTTGACTTCTGTCACCACATTACATTAAATTACATTAAATTAAATAAAGAAAAGGCACACAGATATTTTAATTTTCTAAGTTTAAACATTTGATGCGTTTTCTATGTTCTATTGTAAATAAAATCTGGGTGTGAGATTTTCTAATCATTGCATTCTGGCTTTATTTAGATTTTCCAAATATTTTAGAATTGGATGGAATTGGATCGAACAAGAAAATAAAGTTATGGTAGATTTGGTGAGTGGACCATTAAACTGAAGCGGGGTAAAGAATCACGTTAATTAGTGAACAGAACAAATGTCAAAGGAGACGAACAAGAAAATACCTCCCTTCTTTTGTTCCTCTGTTTTAGTCGAAAAACTTTTCAAATCTTATTTTTTCACTTCTTTTTTCATCAAAAAACTGCTGACGACATTGATTGAAAAACAATTATTTTCCTAATAAATTCTTTTAATTTTCTTTTCCTACGTTCTTTCTGACTCTGGGCTTTAATAAAAGAAAATAACTTTTCAGTCAAACTTTTATTTTACCTTCTGATAGTTGATGTTCATTTTGGGCATTTCATGAACCAGCTTTTGGATTTGTAGACTGAACTTCTTATTTGGATCAGAGTGCACAACGTACTTAGAAAACCATTAACAGTAGTAATAACAAAGAGAAATTATTAGAGGAAGAGATCAAACAAGTAGATAAAGGAAAATAATGTCTGATACATGTTGAGTTTTGTAAGTGGGTGTTGAGTTTTATTAGATTTACATAAAATTTATGTTATAGATTAGTCTTTTTAAATGTACTCACCAAGGCGAGTGTATTTGCTGGCCATATCGGCCATAGTTGATGTGATTTTCTGTCTCTGCTGATGTTCTGCTGCTCAGCTGTTTCCTCTGTATTGCTCTGCAGTGTTTGAATGTGTAGAAACGTGTCTGAGAGGTGGGGCAGAAAGATCAGAAGGAAACAGGAACGGTTAGTTGTTGGTTAGATGTCATTCAAATTGAGTTACTTTTGTATGAGAGATGAGTTCATACTTTGTGTATGTTTTGTGTTTGGTGCACTGAAGAAAAAAGGAGAGCTAATGTCTAATCTAGGTGTTTAACCTGTGTAAGTTTGGACAGTTAATCACAGACCTCGTATTTCATATTGATATTTCTGTTGCTTTCACACACTCTGCCTGGGTTATTAATTTTGTGACTCAAAGGAGTATAGTGGCTTGTGCCAGCCTGACTAAAATGGCAATTTTATATGTTGGCTGAGTGTTAAATTCTTCCTTTCCATGTCAGCATATTTAGTTTGGCTTTTTATTAAATGAAAGAAAACTCATATCAAAAGGTATGATGTCTGACCGGGCAGCCAGGGCAACGCCCAGAAGCTAGGCAAATACTTTCTCTGTCACATATCACGCAAACAATACAAAAGAGAAGATCAGGCCAGAGTGGACACACATGGGGAACAAAGCAGAACAGAATTTGAATGATGATGAGGGAAGCAAAATTGGAGATGGGAGACTATCAAAATAAAACAGGAAGTACACACACACACACACACACACAGAGACTGGGGATAGATGTGGAGACACAACGAACTAGGTGAGACCAAGGAGCAAAACACAGTGAAAACAGACAGACACAGGTACAAAACACTGAGCTGAAACAAGGATGGACTAGGCACGAAAATCAATGGAACATACATGAGAGCAAATAGGAAACGTTTTCCTTCCTGCGGCTCTATATTATTTTCTGTTTTTTTGTTAAATAAACTTTTGTTTAATGAAACTGATTTGCCATGCCTCTTCTTTGTTAATAGCGTGCCTGTGTGCCTTAATAACTGTTAAAACTGTTGCACTGGCTAGTGTAATATTCTCTGGGGTGTAGTTCTACCTCCAGGTGACGTTATCAGTACCGTTTAATTACCTTTACTGGTTTTCCTTCACCCCACCAGCAAACACAAAATAAATGGAATCTTCATTTTAGAACAGATGACTCAGTTATGTGAAGTTTTTACATACGAACTGCTCTATTTGAATAACTCAATACATGAAACGCAGCTTAACAGGCTTCCATATATACCACATATTCCTCAAACACTATTATAAAAACTTTTAGATGTTCTGGCTCGCCGCATGAATCCAAGTCGCTTGTGCATGAGACAAAGAGCCGACTTTAAAATAATTACTGTCCATACACTTCCTGAAACGGACAGAAGGAAATCCGAACGAAAGAAAGTCAAAGCAACACGTCTGTAATTTAGCGCAGAGAAGCAGTAGCGGTCCCGCTGTCAGCTATCAGCCGTCCACCCAGACCAGACTGTCTGTAATGTATCGTGAAATTAGCATTTGCAAAAGACAATTATGACAGGAGTAATACTAAGATCGTAACAAGTCAAAGTTACACACCGATCAAACGGCGCCGCCCGATTCTCAAACAAAGTGCTCCAACCTATAAACACACCTGTTTACTACAAGGTAAAATAATTAAACGTATGACACAAAATAAAAACATACCAGCAATCGATGGAGAGAAGACTTCAAACGATCCGCAGGTGATCTCTGCAAAAACACGAGAAGCACGAATTGACAAAAAATATTGCCAATTCAGACAACAGGGACATGTACGTGACTCTTACCTGTGACAGCTGGGGAGGTCATGAGTCCGGAAACCCGGATACACACTGAAAAAAAGGGATTGGCCATCTCTTGGATTTATGTAAGCATCTTGCGTGCATTTAACACAATTGCCTCATGCTTTAAATTTAAGTGTAACTATATAGTGTAGAAACCACATGATATGCAGAGAGCGTATATTAAATTGTTCATATCATGTTCGAGTGAAGTAGGTCAATAATATAGCAATGTTAAATCTCTCGACACCGCACGGGATTTCAGTCTTGTGTGCTTTGGATCGTGGTTTGAGGAAGGCATCCATCTCAGTCAAGTCGAGCAGCCGCCTCTACTTTTTTTGGTATAGCGAAAAAAGTAATTTGGGAGGTTGTTACTAGTGATGGGTAGATGAGGCCTCGTGAAGCGTTTCAGCACATTCTCCAAACTGTATCGATACTGCGTCGACAGTGTTGCTGTTTGACTCCATACTGACACCTGCTGGATCTTAAATATCATTGCAGGCAACTTACTTGAGACTCACAACAGACACTGATTCAATGACCTAGTCATACTTGTATACACTGTAAGGTATTGTACTTTCCATGGAATCATTTTATATATTTTACATTGCAAATATTTTAGACATCTTTAAAATATATTGTGAATGACATTAAGTGAAAATTAAAATGAAAGTATTGTGAATGTAATATTACCCATTTAAATGTAATTGACTCAGAGTTTATTATAAATTTCTATTCAGAAAAGGATCTATTTGTTAAAGGATCCTCTGATCTTGGAATGTTTCTCTCCAACACTCTCCACAATACTAAGGGGTTGGCACTCCTTTATAATAAAATTCACAACAGCCTGGTCCAGAACAGTCTTCCCAGATGCTTGATTTCAAAATAATAAAACACATATTAATAAAAAAAAATGATGATAAAGTTGTTCAGTGTCAATATAGGCCGACCTGTGTTCATTCTCAGTGTGTTTGTCTCCTCATTTTCATGTTTGGCTCTGTAATGCCTAAACACTGAGG